CGTAAGGTGTCCAGCGGGAGGGGCTGCCCAATGCCTGCAATTTGGGGCCACAAAATTACATAATTGTGATGCAGCCTGATGAAGACTTGTTACAGAGATGTTAAAGACATGGGAACACACTTATAAGGTTAAGTGTGTAAATTTATAGCCAAGAACAACAGTGAAAAGTAAAATTAATAAGCCTGGGGGAAATCTGGAAGAAATACATTATCATAAAAATAAACAGCCATCTGGGCCGTTGGATTTCTGTATTTTTCAAATTTCCATCCTGAGCATATATTCCTGTTTCCCTTTAGGTTCTCAGGACCTGCTAGAATGTTCTGTGGCTGTTATCACACCAGCCACCTGGGCACAAGGCCTCTCCTTCCTTAGTCACCACCCCCTTGCTGTCCTGGTGCTGTTGGAGCAGGGTGGGTGATGCCTGGCTCTCCAGAGTCGTCCTCACTGCACAACAGCCCTCCTGTGCCCTCCTGCACTCGCCCCCGGTGTCTGATGACCTGTCACCCTTGGTGCACGGCTGTTCCCAGAGCTAGGTGCTAGGGACCCTGAGGGCAAACTCCTGGCCCTGTCCTTCGCGTCTGGCTCTCTGGTCCCTGGCCCAGGGCCTCTACGTTAACTCCACCACTGCTGCATGGCAGCCAATGGTGTCCAGGCCCCAGGGTCGAGCGGGCTAGCCCCTGGAAGGCCACGTGCAGCTCACTCTGGTCCAGCGTGGGCCCAGCCTCAGCACTGCTCTGCATTCCCAGGCCCCTCCAGTCAGGCCTGGCTCCTCTAAGCACCCCCCTATCCTGCAGGAATCCCACACAGCTACTGGCCCACAGCTCCCCTGATCTGAGGCCTGAGATCCCACCTGCTGCCTCCCAGGCTCAGGCCAAATCCGACTTCCTCTCTAGCTGGGTGCCTGCTGACCCCTCGGCACGTCAGTGCAAACAGGGCCACTAGACAACAGCAGGGAAACTGAGGCCCTGAGAGTGCTATACCTAGTTGGGACAAGCCAGGGCTTCTAGGTGCTGGGACCCTGCGGGCAAACTCTCCATTCAGAACACAACTAGCCTAGCCAAGTGCAGGTTCAATCCGAGTCAGTCTGCAAACACGCCAGGTGTGCGCATAGGCGTCTGGGATCCTGCGGAGCTGAAGGGCTAGGCAAAGGGATTGCAGTGGGAAGATCCGTCTAAGGTGCTTCTCTTCCTTGCACACATGCTCTCTTTATCATTAAAAAACAAAAACAAAAACTGGCCCAGGAGAGGCTGTACCCTTGCCCTACACTGGGCTGGCCCCAGTGCTAGGCGGCATCGTGACAGCCTCATACGTAACAACATATTCTCAAAACATTAATATCCTTTCTCCCATCTCACCTTGTCAGGTGGTTCTGTCAGGAAAGGCTTCCACAGAGCCCCGATAAGTGACCTAGAAAATCTCAGTGCCATTCTTACCTGCATCCCCCCCTCCCCTCGTCACAGCGTGATCCCACTGACTGGCCTTTAAGCACAGACCTGCTCATTCTCGACTCTGGTGGTCAAGGCTGTAGGGGTGGGCCTCATCGAAGGGTCCAGGCCCTGGTGGGTTTCAGCTGGCAGGAAAAGGCCCGACTCTCCCAGTTGAGAGCTGGCTGTCCACGGATGTCTTATGGGTGCCAGTGTGGGCAAGGACTCCACGGGCCCCTCCCCTCGCTTCTCGGCCCTAGGAATCCTTCCAGAACTTGGACATGAGCCCAAGGTGACGGGGAATTCTAAACAGACCTGGGTTTGGTTTCTGCCATTCTGTAATGTGGGCTGTGGCCGGAGACCAGTTCAATTTTAGAAGAATAAAGAGAAAGCTTACAAACACATCTGACTTTATAGACGAAGGTCCGTACCATTTTTAGGAGGGGACAAAAGAAAAAGGAAGAGGCCCCTGGCAGTTTCCACCACGCCCAGGGTAAGTGCTGCTGTCTGGGATGCCGTGAAATGCTCTCCTGGGCTTGCTTCACCCCCGGCTACCGCCCTAGGCACATGGAGTGGCTGCTCAGTCCCCTGGACGCGTCTGTCTTCCCTCGGGCCATGCCCTGTGTCATCACCATGCACTGCCCTACTCACCTCCAAGGCCCAGCTCTTAACACCTCCTCCAAGAAGTCTTCTCAAGCCCCAGGAATACCAAGAGCAACTGCCACCCCTACAGACTGGTCCAGTCTGAGGGCTTTACAAACATTTCCCTCAAGGATGGTGGGGAAACCCAGTCCTCCCCAGTTCACCTAGAGCTGCCGACCCCAGACCACCTGGCAAGGCAGGTGAGTCTCTGTCCACCTTACTGGCAAGGCAGTGAAGCTCAGACTCACCCAGCTAGTTCCAGGGGTACACAGATTTGAACAAGTGTGCTTTCCTGTGGCCCACATGCTGCCTGGACCCACTCTCCAAAGCAGACTACATGCGGCCCCTCCACAGGCCCGGGGCTCCTGCTCGACTCACTTGGAATCCCAGGCTTCCGGGAGCGTCAGATGGAAGGTGTGGGAGCTGCCTTTTTTTTCTAGGGTGGGAGCAGCACTGAAGACCCCTGGGTGACCTCTCAGAGCCCCTGAGTGCCTGGACACTGTCGCAGCCCAGGGTGACAAGTAGCATGGGTAAGCAGAGAGCTGGCCTGCCAGCCCAGCTGCTGACACCTGGTGCCGGGTACCAATGCCTGGAAAGGCGCTGGAGGGCCCCTCTCTGAGAGCAGGGCCAGCACCACCTCCTGTGTCCTCTTCCAGGCAGCCTTCCACCCTCCACACTATGTGGGCAGGGAAGGCACGTTCAAGGTCTCCCTCTGCACAAAGAGGAACCAGAGGGCAGGCTGGCACAGAGATGGGGGCAGGCAGCCCCCATGGGACGATGGCTGAGACCCAAGAAGCTGCTTAAACGGCACGATGAGCCAGTGCGCTGGAGGGCAGCCCTGCTCGGTGATGGAAGGGCCGAGAGCTCTCTGGTCTGCCACAGGGCTGCTGGACCACCCGTCGGCCTCCAGGTTTCTCCCAGAAGCCTGACCCTCCACTATCCAGCGTCCCTCTGCATTAGACAGCCGTCATCGTGGGTGCTCCCAGATGGAGCGCAGGGAGAAAGACCACGGCCGCCTCCTTCCTCCATAGAAAGGCAACAGTGCCAAGTGCTGAACGCACAGCCTGGTACCCATCAGGTGTCAAATAACTTTCCAAACTCACTTAAAGACGTGCATGCCTCGGAGCAGGTGTATTGCCAGGCCTCTGAACAGAGGGTCTCTGGGGGAGGTGGGAGGGGCTGCAGAGGGCCAGCCAGTGGACACCTCAGGCCTCTGCACCCTCCATCAGCAGAGGAGGCCTGCCCCACCTCCCCTGGGCTGTCCAGTACTGACGCCAACCCGGGCAGATGCCCAGTCAGGACGGGCCAGTGGCTGGACCTGACTCGCACTCTGAGGCAATGCCCATCAGCCTGGAGCTAGGCAGGCCTGAAACCAGACAGGGTCATGGGGCCCCTGCCATGGGGCAGGCAAGGTTGCCACAGGCCACTCAACCATGGTTCCAGAGCCAGGCAGGTCCAGAGCCTGCCATGGGGTGGTGAAGGGGTGTCCTGGCCCAGTGGCCAACGAGAAGGGAGCTCCGCAGGCCACAGGCCTGAGCTGCCTGTGAGCACCAGTGATCCCTCCCCCGCCTTGGGGAGCTGCCGCTGGCCCGGCCTGCCTCCTGGGGAAACCTCTCTGCTGTGTTCATCCTGGCTCCGCCTAGTCCTGGACCTGCCCTCAGCCCCTCCACGGTGTGGGAGAGCTCCGAACCCCAGTGTGCCCCTTCAGATCAAGGACTTGAGACCACCAGCCCTGGGACAAGTGCAGGTCACTCAAAGGCTAAGCCTCAGGTCTGAGGAGAAAAGGAGCTGCCTCCCTGCTCGTCGCCCTAAGCCCAGGGCAGCCTAGCAGAACCCCGGGAGTGTGTAAGCGCACACGCATGTCCAGTGAAGGGCTGACACTCCGTTCGCGGTCAATCTGCCATGGCCACTGTTTCACTGCTGATCCTCCCATCATCCGGCCACTTTCACATCTCTGAGCACCACAGGAAGCTAGGCAGTGTGTCCCCTCTCCCCTTGTTCAATGGCCTCGAGCCCCTCTCCCAGAAGTCCACCCAGCCAGGCCTGGGCACAGGACGTGAACAGCTCCTGGGAGCCCAGAAAGCAGGGGATAGTCTCCCCATGGCGGGTGAGGGTGACAAGTGTGACGTGACACCAGATCTCTCTGCGGCAGGCTCCCATCCTGGGCATTGCTGGACTGCTTCCCCCATCCCAGTGCATTGTGTAGCCCCCCCCAAGCAGGGCGTGGGTCTGGCCAGACTGCACGCTGCACACCAAGACAGGGCTACAGGGCTGGAGAGGAATGGGGCAGGGCGGCGCTGGGCAGGGGAGGGGGCCATGTTCGGCTCTCATATAGGCTCAGGT